AATCAATGTCGCTCGTTCGACACTGACTGTCGTCCGTCAAGAGTCTGCGGATCCAATCGGCCGAATCACTACTCTCCCTCGACAGATCCTCACTAGTTTCTTGACCAAAATCTACTACTAATGGTGGAGCTGAGGTGCGATTAGATGATGGTTCGGGAACATTCGCTGTTTCTACGTTACTTCGCCCAGGCTGTCCTGTCGAAGCAAGATGCGTAGGCGCGTCATTAGACACATGTAGGTCTAATGACGGAAGAATATTAGTACATAGAGTCTTAGCGGTAACTTGGCAATAAAGACAGTTAACCTAAACCGGTTCAAGTACGAAAGATCCCAATTTCTAAAGTAGTCACTTGCATTCACGACATAAATAACACAAGAATAAGAGATATGTACAATAGCGTATAATAATTTTAAACGAAGGATTTTAATTACTTTTAATAAAATAGTAATGGGCATATTACTTAATCTAATGGTCGCTTCAGATGTACACGGTCCAAGCACAGAATCGACGATACTTTCAGCCAACTCTAACGTGGGATTCCGATTTGCCGTGCGAGGATCACGACTATCGGAAACCGACTGTTCTTCTGGCGGTGGTGGAGGTGGTCGTTCCTCGTCCTCTTGAACCGTTACTTCCATTTCACCTGTTACATCTAGTATGTAAAAAATACATAGAAACACGTGTCTAGAACATTCATTAAAAATAAATAAAAAACTTTGTTGTTTTGCGTATATAGCTATACCGATTATGTCCTCTTCCGGAGTACGCTCCTGTCTTGTTGTTTCTACCGCAGTCTCTTCTCCAGCAACAAGCGGGGTGACATCGGTACGTAGTGAGGTTGAGGCTGACGGTCGCTGTTCATCCAATGTCAAATTTGGCAATGTGACTAAAATATCAGATGCAGTTTAAAGAATCGTATTATCGCATTTAAATCGTTTTCCTAATTATGTTTATGTTATGTATATACACGAGGGGAATTCAAAAAGTTCTCGGATGAGATGCGTTCATTAGTTTCTTTGTCTCGGTCGTGTAAGGCAACTTTCAGGTCAACCATCATGACAATCCACCCGCTTACATTTTTTTCAATTTTTTTCAGTCGCAAAATTACATGAATAGGTTTAGCAAGTACTGTGTTTCACCAGACCCGAAACAAAGAAACTAATGAACGCATCTATCTGAAATTTTAATAGTAGCTCTGCGCAGAATCAAACTTGTCTAAAATTATAGCAGTTTAATACTTGTGGCATTTCTGTGTCACGCTGAGAACTTTTCGAATTACCCTCGTATATATACACATGGGTATGTAAGAAGTATTTGTGTAAAAAAATATATGGGAGCATACTTCTTAACATACCATCGGCGGTATTTGAGCGTTCTTTTTCTTCTTTATTATCCTTTTCATTCTCTTTTTCTGATCCATGTTGTTTTTTACGTTTCTCCTTGCGTTCAGCTAGCTCAGCGTTCCTGTACTTTTCTAGTCCGGGTATCAGCTTATGAACAACACCTATCCGACATGAAAAGTTAATAAAACTGTACTATGCACATAAAGATATAAAATTAACAATAACAAATGCCTTTGTTCTCACCAACGCAACAATCCGGTTGAGAATCCCCGTCTAATTGCTTGCTCTCCTCGATCCACCAATGCAACGCAGTTGGTATATTATTCAAAGTTGCGGCAAGGCTTGGACCAAAAAGATATCCAGATTGATCCTAACGATAAATTTGAGAGTTACAACTTACATTTCTTTATATTTGTTTATATTTTCGTATTACACAATTATGTACGTACAACATAATCGATTTGCTCTTCCTCTTGATTAGTAAATATTCCCAATCCATTGTCCATTACGACAACACGTGTATCTCTAAAGCTTGACGCTAAAACTTGACTGGCGGACAAAGGAAGAGTCTGTGCAGCCGGACCTAAGAGTCTATATATTATGTATATTAGAGGAGAATAATTAACATTTGTTCTTTTTAAATAAACTTTTTAAATAAACTTTTAAGATTAAGAAACTTCTTTCAAATATCAGCATACGATTCTTTTCAGTACCTTTTCCTCCTCTTACTCTGATTTTTATTGTTTTTATGTATATTAAATAATTAGACTATTATTTACTTTATTCGCAAAACACAATGTTTTACTAATATATAAATACATACCTTTGTAATATTACAGGTGGGTTTGAACTACGTGGATTGGATAACTGAAGGTACTGATACTGTCTAGCACGTCGTAAAACACGCGTTCTAGTACTTGCAGTGTCCAAACTTCCTTGCGATATCAATAATGGATGAGTACTGATACCTGCATCAAAATTATTGGAATTATACATTTTACAATCATGCAGGAAATTAAATGAAAGATAAAAGAAAAAAAAAGGAGAGAAAAAACACAGTCGATCATTCATATCGAAACCCCCCTATTCTCGACCAACTGAGCCTTCGTAAACTGAGATTACGGACATGGACACCCATCCTATATGTATATGAAAACTGATGAAAACCTATTTTAACAATATATATTGTATTAGGTGAAAATTGAAGAAACTGAAGGCCTGTTCCTTTTCGAAGAATTCTGAACTAGTGCAACAAGTTAGAGTAAAACAAACTAAACCTATCTCATTTTAACTTATTGCACAGTATACACCAGTTCGGAACTTGGGATAGAAAAAAAAACAGACCTTGAAATCAAAAATAGAGAGGTTCGGTCCCAATTCCATTAATCAAGAACAAGAGAATTTCCGACTGTAATTATCTATTTTCGCTCCTATTTACCATTGTTCTCAGAACCTGCAGGCGGCTCTTCAAACAGACCTAATGGTAACGGGAATGTGGTATTCCATGGAAGACTAGGTCGCGCATTAACTGGCGTCGACGTATTCGCGATGTCCTGATTTTCAATGTTGTGTTGTATCATTACGACATTACCACCATCGCGCTCAGAAGAGGGAAACATACGAAAAACGCCGCCCTCTCCAACGTCCTCGTAAAATTCTATTCCATCTTCTTCATAATTGGACGATCCTTCCTCCTCCTCTTCCTCTTCTTCTTCATTTTCTTCACCTATAATAACATAAATAAGGATAAGAAATATACGATCTTCCTATCTCGGCTGTGGCTTTACTAGTTTACTACGATATGTATCGAGTCAGAATATCTACCATCATCTTCCTCTTCCTCCTCTTCGTCCTCATCGTCCTGCACCTCGTCCTCATTATCATCAGACGGATTGCTATCGGAGTCAGAGTCGGAGCTCATTAAGTCCTCCTAAAATAAAATTCGCTGTAAATTCATAAAATAAAACAGAAAGTACAATTACATGAGAAAAATGAAAGAAAGTGACGTTACTCTTACTGTGGTATCTCGAGTTGGATCGAAATCGCCCTCTGCGTCACGCATTGCGAGACTTTCATCATCGATGTCCATTGGCCTGTGCGGGCGAGAAGATGGTTCTTCCGCCACGGCCGAGCCGTCCCTGGAAAACAGTACACTACTTGATTATAAGTACTGTAGCTTTCATAAACTTGAAGGGTTATGAAAACAAATAAAGAAAGATTCGCGAACGTGTGCAATACATAAACAGAAGACAAAAATACACATAGATAGCCAGAAAAAAATACATATCATGTTTAAATTTAAAAAAATATGTATACACACATGTGTTTGAATTCGATGTAAATTGTATAATTGAATTTTACAGGTATATTACAAAATAAAATCGCGTAAAATACCATCCATGCAAGGAGAGTACTCTGCTAACATTTCTTAAATGAGAGACATTGTCACTAAACCGTGGTCCGATTCATGATTACGCTCATGAGCATTTGTCTTTGTTTTAACATTTGACAAACAATAAGGAAATGAATTGATTTTTAATGAAATGATTTTTAAGCGTTGTGAGCGTGAATCGGAGCCATAGCCTATGTGATATCTGTACCACATATATATATATATATATATATATGAGCATATCATTTTAAATTTCACTCATCACGATAATATTGAATATTTTTTTATCTGTCATATTGATGTTCGTCATCATTGCTGCATAAATACATCTTAATCAAACATAGAACAAATTAAATTTACTTTCACACTTTATTTGAATTGCATGACGTTCATCGAAATTTGATTATTTGTTAATTTACATCTCGTTACCTTTCGAGAAGCTGATCCATGATATCCTCCAGTGCAGCCTCATCTCCTTCCTCATGTACCTGACTCTCCGACGTCGGTTCCAAGCTTTCAGCTGTTACAGAGATATCGTGCTCAGTGTTCTCTGCGTCCTCATTCGCTTCCTCGCCCACGGCATGCGTAGCTTCGGAGGTCGTAGTGCCTGTCTGTTCTCCAATCGGTTCTTCCTGGACTGTCCTATTTTTCGGCTTCGTAAATTTGTTATTGACCGCACCCGGTATTGGTTGATTGATAATGCGCGATAAGGTCTCTAACGGTTTCAACGCGGCGTTAATCGTGCCGGCCATATTCGGACTCGACAAATCGAGACTGTGCGGTATTTTGGCCAAGTCGGTGATTATACCCTTTCTCAGCATTATTCTGACGATGTAATTAACGTTGTTGTATTGATGGGCTCTCAAAGAAGCCCTCAGCTGAGTATGTGACATATTTGGCGGACAACTATCAATCATGGTAGAGATCAATCCGATTAGTAACTGAAGCTGCGCGTGCTTCTCCGAACTCTCCGGAAGCGCGAGTGTTCTCGTCAAGGCTGCCTTCACTTCCGTCACCAAGGTCGTCTGTACATCCGGCGAGTGATTGCACGAAGCTATCGCAGCAATCAACATTCTCGCCATGCTGCTGCACGTTCGATCGCCCGAATTTTCCGGTGACATCGGCAAAAGTTTATCTAGCAAGAACGCTAAAGCCGTTGTGTCTTCAGATACCATCTCGCTTTGTCCAGCTCTATACGTATGGTCGGTGATAAGACTAGCTACAGCGCCGTAAGATCTCACAGCTTCTGCCAATATCTTTAATATCGCGGATTTTGTCAAAATAGGCTTCTTTGCTTCCTCCGGTTCTACCTTGCTGTTATTACCGAGGTCGGTATAGATCTTTAGAGGAATAATTTGCGACACTTGATCGTCGTCGTCCAACGGATCGTTAGTGGTTGTTGCATTATTTCTCAGTACATCTCGCCGTGATGATGATGCCGATGATGTGTTACCCATCGATGAAGTCGTTGCATGTGATGTCTTCTTTTCGGGGCTTGTTGGGGTTGCTGATCCTTCATCCGACAACACTGGCATTGGCTTAATCAACGCGTTCAACATATCACGAATAACACCTACGGATACCTCTTCTACCATCGGTAATGCTGGAGAGTGACTAGGAGGTAAGGCTTTCACGACTAGCCTATTGTCAACATCATCTTCTGCAAAATAAAAGATATAATTTGAAAATGTGAAATAAGAAGTTAATACAAGCTAATAGTTAAATTATTATTTCATATTAATCCTCCCTTCAGATCTAACTTTATTGGGAAACTATGTTAAAAAAAAATTCTTTTAATTCAGTTTATGCGTGCGTATTTAAATAAATAATTCTTACTAAATAATTAATTTTTTTTTAATTTTGACTATTTTTTCAACATGTACATTATTATTACGGCATCAAATCTTAGATGATGTCAACAGAATTAAATCATTTCAACGGACGTCTTCAAATTTGATGTACATTACAGTGTGCGCTGGGTCTGAAGGGGTTAAATAAATCCAAATTAAATAAATCCACCATTTGGATTAACTGAAACTCACTTTTTAAGCAACTTATGTCAACTCTAAGGATATTTTCGCACACTTCTTTGTATACTTCTGGATTACGACAAACAGCGCTGCTGATCTGCCGCGTCATGAAAAGTATCTCTTTATATGCAGGAGGTATGTTGCTCTGCGTGCGCGCACGAATGACCTGAAACAAAAGTGGCATATGTAATAACGCATTGTTACATGGATGGATTACGCGAAATTGTATTGAAAACATAAACACAAATACCTTCTCCATCGCAAGGCGAAGCGTGCGCGGCTCTTCAAGAGTATGTCGTATCAGTAATGTACATAGATTGATGCAGCCGGTAAAACTGCACATCTGCGTCATTTCGAGGAGTAACTTAACACCACCTTCTCGCGCGAACACTTCCGCATTTCGATAATCCCTCGTCAGCCGTAGGCACACTTTCAACACAGCGTGTAACGCGTCTCGATCAACTGGGATTGCCAAAAACTTTACACACGCGCTGCAATAAATATAAATAATATTTATGAGATGTTTATTATTCTTAATTAACTCAATTTTATACGTAAAATATATTTCGTATAATACACAGAAATAGAAAAAAAAATTTTTGGAAAAATAAGAGTAAATGTTTCTAGATTTTGGATCCGAATTTTGTAAGCCGTTTTGTTCCATCATGTCTAGTTTTTTTAGATAATGCATAATCGAGAAAAATGATGGAAAATCTGTGAAAATTGAAACGTTTGAGGAAAGAGCAAAAGTAAATATGACATTAAAATGCGATCGCTGAATTAATTTAAATATATTTTGATTGCACAAAGTATAAGAAACAAAAAAATTTTGCTTTATTAATGTTAGGTATTATATAGTTTAACATGTCGTAAACAAATCGGTGCTACCATTGTGCAACAATCACATGATCTGTATAAGTCATGGAAGATCTTTCCAGCTCCAGAAATGGATATTTTAATTATTATCTTATCTTCCAAAAGTGACAATTAAAATATTCGTTGTTAAAGCTAAAAAAAAAAAAACTTTCTATGATTCACGCAGATCGCCTGATTGTTGCACGATGGTACTTCAACAAACTTATTTATGTCATAACAAGCTATATCTCAACATTAGTAAAGGAAATTTGTTTTCTTTCCTACACCTTGTTCAACTTACCAAAATATATTCAAATCAATTCTGCGATTTTAATGTCATATTTATTTTTACTTTTTCCTCAAACGTTTCAATTTTCACAGATTTTTCATCATTTTTCTTAATTATCTGAAAAACTGGAAGTGATGGAGTAAAATGGCTAATGAAAATTCGGATTCAACGATTCGAAATTTAAAAGAAACAGCTATTCTGGTGTTTTATTGCACTTGAAAAATTTTTCGTGATCTTGTGTAATGCGTGATCACACAAAACATTACGAAAAATGATACAACAAAAATAAAACATAGAAAAGCATTAATATGTTAATTAATTATTGCAGCATCATAATATCGCGTGTAACAAGATTTCCTCCTTTTTTTCAAAGTCTAAATGATCTCACGTTACATATTATTTGTATCCATTAATGTATGTCTCACCGTACAATACTCGGTGCTATACTAGGATCCAATCCTTGGACCACCGTATTTCGTCTCTCCTCTCCTACCGGACTCTCGTCGGTATCCATATTTGAATCGGAACCAGAACCACCGTCCTCCTTATCCGTGCTGAGCTTGAAGCCCATCGTGATGGGCCGCCTGTTATCACTATCTTCGTTCACTTGCGTCATGCAGGAAAAGGTGATGAGATATCGGCGTCGACTGCACGATATTCGCACACTGGACTCGCCTGCCCAATATGCGTCATTGATGATTCGATTATTCATAGGCGAATAGGGGGTCCATTTGCCAGTACTTAAGTCAAACCACTTCCACGATTTGGTCGTGATCTTGTGCATCATCTGCTTTCGTTGGGTGAGAGTGGCCACCTTTTCTAGCCGATCGATTAGTAGTAATAAAGGCGCTAACCACTTTGGTGTCTTCATGCTCAACACAGCGCTGGTATCCTTGCAGTCTTTAGCGATTCTATTCTTGTTCGCGGTGAGCGGAGCCTCGCTCACCACCAACAACCGTACAAGTTTGTCAAGTATCGCGCATTCTTCCACTATAAGAGCACATGGCACTCGCATCTCCTGAAACGAACCTTCGAAGAATAGAGTATAGAGGTAAAGACGACCAGAAAGTTTATTCGCCTCCTCGCACTCGACCAATCGAGCTCCGGCATTTTCATCCTGGCTCTCGGCGATGTCAATAAGATAATCCACTAGACGTCCGACCTCGCGTATCAACTGTCGTAACGTATCATCTCGCCACTCGTCGCCGTTTCTCTTGGTGATGGTCACTAACAGATCGCAAATTCTATATACCGTGTCCGGCATGAGGTCCAATAGATTAAGACATTGCCCAAGCGCACTACGCGTAAATTCGTCTATACTTTCGGTGATGGTCGTTTCGCGAGAAGGAATTTCCTCAATGCCCGAAATCTTACGCGTATCTGTATCGCCGAGCGACATTGCAATAGCATGCATTATCTGATCGTCATCCGCCAATTCCAAATCCATGATCAAACCTTGACCACTGGCGTCGCTTACTGGAGCGTCGGGTCTACGTAGAGTTGCAGGATTTGTTAGGAGGTAATCGGTTGCCTGTTCTACCGTCATCGTGTGCAATAACGCTTCTATACAATGTGCTCGACTGAAGCCCATATCCATCAGTTGTCTCAGATATTCCGGATTGACGTCCGCCTCTGGTTCGTCACGACGATCAGATCCACCACTTCTGCCAACGGCACTCGCACCGCTACCACTAGCTATCGCATTGTCACCGCTACTTTCTTCCTTTTCCGTGCGTTCCTTGATGATTTTCTCGCCACGTAGAATATGTCGTAAAATCGATAAAATAGACTCTGTCATGCGAGCTCCGTAGTTCTTGAGTGGTTTTTTACCCCACATCAGCATCACCGCCTCGAAGGCTTTTTTATGGATATCGATGAGGTATCTTATTGGATCGAACGTCTCGCATACTTTGTATATTCCCGTACACTTTGACGAGACCACGTGGGGTGAGTCTAAGATAGCCTTAGGATTAACCATTTTCTCCAACAGCATCAGCCAGGCATCCAAGAACTCGCCAGTTCCATCGGGTAGATTCGGATGTTCTAGTCCTTCAGATAACGCAAAATGGCCCCCACCTGACAAAGCCCAATGAAAGGTAGAGAAAAATGCATTTTGACCGTTCAATTTGACAAATTTCTGAAGCATCAGGTGATAAGGATGTCTCTTCTCGTCAAAGAGCATCGGTGACGTGAATCCCACTGAACATATGAGAAAAGTGAGTTTAAATTTGGGAATCGGTGATGGGGGTAATTTATCCCACGATAAGCCGCGCGTCAATAAGCAGTTCAATGCAGTGGCAACACTTCGCGCCGCCTGAGAGGGCAACGTGGGCGTTAGGGGCATCTGCTGTCCTCTACGTTGTCTTACGGGAGAACCCATGCAAAGTTTGACAAGTAGACCAAATAATTCTGATAGTGCTCTGCCGAGTCTTGAAGAAGCGCCAAGTAAAGGTTTGATATATTTTAACTGATAGTTGTTGGGCCTGTCGGTGCTTACATTTGGTTTGTCGTCTACCTCCATAGGCACCGGCGGCGGATCTGTGCTAAGAGCTTCCATGGCCGTAGTCATCCCATTACTTCCCATATCCGAGGATACACTAGCGGACCAAGAGGTCGAAGGTTCGCCCTCGGTTTTTAACTCGGGCGGCATCAATTTATCCATGTCTTCTTTCCCAAATTCGCATCCGGCCGGAATAATATCCTCGCTACATAACGCGAGTAGCAATGTACTCTCCCAAACGAGAGACATATAAAGCTCCGACAAACCTTTCAGGACGGTCAAGCCCAATTCGGAACCCCAGTGATTCATAGAAAGATTTCGGATATCACTTTGGCTAGTACGGCAAACATGAACAAACATCACTACGTATCCATGGGCTGCATTCATAGCGTGTAACAAAGGTGTAGCAGTGTCGCTTGTAAATGCAGTTTCCAGATTTGGAGCTGACGCAAGTTCGTGTAACAAAACGGAGGCGCCAGGGGATTCCAAATTATTGTGAAGCGGTTTCAACAAATTTAGCACTTCATTTAATTGTGACAAACCCGTTTTTAGTACCAATGGTTCATGTGCGAGATTCTGTAAATATCAAATTACATTTAAAAAACATGCATCTTTAAAAAAATAATTATACGGAAAGATCAAAATACGTACCAAAATACTTTTGCATACGGAGGCTACGGATTGGGCCGCTTGCGCGACAGGATAATCAACAGGTAAATTGGGTAGACCCAAAATCGATAATAGTGGAACGAGTCCCTTTTGAGCAACAAATTCTCTGCAGTGATCATCAGTTGAATTGTTGCTGAGTATAGCATCCACAAATTTCATAACATTGTGAATATATTCCACTAAAGCAATGGGAGTCTTCTCTCTTGGTTGAGGTGGTGGTCCAGGCTGTTGAGGTGACATGCTAGGTTGCTCTTCTCGTTGAGGATGCGAACTTGTACTAGCTTCCTCCTCGTCTTCTTCTTCTTCGTCACTACTGCTGCCGCCGCCTCCTCCACCGCCTCCACCAGAGTCTCCTACTCCGACACCGACTGATTGACCAGATGTTTGACGATTTCCAGAGGCCGTATTTGATGGTGAATTTTCAGATTTACTAGCAGCACGCCAGCATATGTACCGTGGATCACAGCCCAATACACACAATTCTTCGAGTAGCTAACAAGTAAAAAAGACAAATGAAAATAATTTGAGAAATGCATGTACAATAACAAAATTAATTATTAGAAAACAAATAGCAGTCCCATTTTTAATTAATACCTTAATGATAGCCCCAATAGCGTCAACTTTTAAGCTTGGTTGGTGCCTCATCAGCTCATCCATGGCATTGCCTAAATTTGAAGCTGTATCACCTAATGGATCGGCGCTTCGTCGCCGTCGCATTGCCGAAAGATAAACAGGCGAGAGAAGTACTTTAAATAAGCGTTCGAATGGTCGCCGTTTCACAAAGGATTCAAGACCGCGTTGATTTAAACACAGAGCACTGAACACATTAGGTAAAGAGCCCAATACTTCTCTAGTGGCAGGAACCTATTACATGACACAGCAATTATTAAAAATGCTTTTATTTTTAGTATCATATCATGGAAAATACTCTACTATTGAAAAACACAAAATTAAATATAAATTATTTACACTCACTTCTTTTATGAGTAAAGCATGAAGTACAACATCAGTCAAGCCGTTGTCTTGTAGAGACGATAATAATGACGG